TATTGACTATTATAGCAAGTGGCCTGAAGTGGCGTTCGTGCGAGATGCGACCACGTCTACAGTGAAGAAGTTTTTACTTGAACTTTTTGCGCGAGAAGGCTACCCACGTAGTATTGTATCCGATCATGGACCACAGTTCTCTTCAGCAAGCTTTGACGAGTTTCTCACGGAGCGTGGAATAACGCACTACAACTCTTCCGTGTATTACCCACAAGCTAACGGCTTGGTGGAGAGATTCAATAGGGTGCTGAAGTCGTACATTCAACTAGCCCTGCTTGAACGTCGTGACGTACGAACAGCCATGCTTGATTACCTGCAAGTATATCGCTGTACGCCTCACGCGACTACTGGTGCGACACCCGCTGTTCTTCTTCATCGACGCCAACCTCGCACCAGACTTGACATATTGGGATTGCCCGACAGATGCTTCAGCACGGACCCGTCAAGGGCGATTGAACAGCTACGAGAGCATGTCAAAAAGAAGCAAATGATCTCGAAGAGCTACACCGATGAAAAACGTGGAGCCAAGGAACCCAGTTTCGTCGTTGGTGATTACGTGCGCGTTAAGACAACTGCAGCTCACGGTAAGCTGTCTTCACAATTTTCCGCGCCCAAGAGGATCATTGGAAAACGGGGACCGGCCTCGTACCTTTTGGACGATGGGCGTGTGTGGAACGCATCTAAGTTAATCGCAGTTCACTCCGGAGCGGTCAACAAAATGAAATCGGGCACCCCTGCTGTTATGAACTGGACACCTGCATTTAATCGGTCTTCTCATGCATTACAGCCTGAAACCGCTGCCCTTATGAACTGGTCCCCTGCATCTGATCGGTCATCTAGTGCGCCCCAATGGGACACATCAAGAGCGGATGGTCATGAAAGGGCAGACCCCGTATCATCTCCACCAGACGGCACGCAAGCTTTGACCAGTCCAGGATTTAATGCGCCTGCAAGGAAAAGCAAGCGTAAAAAGAAGACCCCAAAGAAATTGAAGGACTTCGTTAGGAAGTAGACAAAAACAGTTTTGTGTGTTTCTACCATTTATTTTTATTTTATTTTATTTTTTTTTTTTGCAAGAGGGGATATGTGGTATAAGGCGTCGCTACCGACTACAGCGCTGTGCGGTGGCACGCGCTCGGTGGCCGCCACGGGGGGAGAAGGAAGAAGATGAAATAAACAAGATGTCTCCGTTTATGCTGTGCTATTCATTATGCACGATGTAACAAGTACAAGTGGCTCGGGTGGTGGTAGGCAGTCCATCTTCAGCGCAGGGTTCGACTGTTACACTTCTGACACCATGTTCTGCTTTACGCGCTCAGCAAAGACACAACCACACGAGACGCTAGCTAGCAAGGGACTGTTTATTGATGGCTGCCGCGCCGCGCGCGCGCCCTCTCTCAAGGTGGCCAGGTGAGGTGGGATCATCCCGATTTATTAAGCGGTGGCCCGCCTGGTACACAATGTGGGATCAACACATTCTTTTTCATGCAGTTGGTGTACACTGGTTCAACGTTGGCATCAAAGTTGGCGGAATAGCTGTCGGTGCAACCAACAGGTACACGAACGGTTGATAACGGTGGTATGATAGTGTCGCCACTGACACACAATGCCGTCTCACCATCCACAGGGTTTTCCAAGAGTGCTGGCGGAACGTGATCACTCAAGACTATTGTCCCTGTGCGGCAGTCGACAGTCGCACCACACTCCCTCAAAAAGTCCATACCCAAAATAACTTCATGTGTCGCCTGCGAAATAATCACGAACTCCGTTAGGATAACGCGGCCTCCGAGAAATACGTCAGCTTGACACACACCAACAGGATGCAGTGCCTGACCACTCACTCCGCAAAACTTCGCAGCTTGATCCCACCTAAATAAAACCTTCCGCCCCAAGGTATCTTTGAAACACGCACTCATGACCGAAATGTTGCCCCCGTATCCACCAAAGCCATCACAGGCACACCGTCAACAAAAACACGTACTTTGTTCTTGAGCATCAACAAAGGAGGTATTTCAGATATTAGCACGTCTCCGGCGACCTCACCTCCATCGGCCGCGCTTGCTAGTTTTCCTGTGGCAAAGGAGACGTGTTGCGACGCCGTGGTGAAGGAGAACGGGGAACACGAGGCGGTGGAGGCGTCAAGCTCCTGTCAGATGTAGGGGAGTGGTTCCGGAAGCTGCGTGTCCAGTAGTCGTCGCGAGGCAGCAGGTGTGTTGCCTTAGGGTCATCGTACGGTCGATCAGACGATCGTGTAAAGTGTTGTGGTGGGCCATAGTACGTTGCTTGCGGGTCATCGCGAAGTCGTTCGGAAGGCCGTGAAAAGTGTGGTGGGTAGCCATACCGTGGGGCTACACGTCGACGGTTGCAAAATCGCGAAATATGTCCTGGTACACCACAGGAGTAGCAAACTGTGAGAGGTCGAAACTCTCTTTGTTCGTCGATGAATCGAACATCGTCTTCCCTGGCGGAGTGGGTCGGTTCGTTCCGTATATCATAGGGATATGCCGGGCGTCGCGAAGAAGGTGGACGCTGGGGGCGTCGGTCATGGCCAACAGGTCGATGATCGCAGTGTCGTCGTCTTCTTTTTTCCTCCAGCTTGGGGCAGCCAACATGTTCACCCATCTTCGTTTTCTTCCAAGGCATGCGTAACAATATGCACTATGTAACTCAATGCTCTTTCCAGTATTTTAAAGGCTCATCCTTTCTGGGAACCAGGGTCTCGCTGCAGTATATATTAGATGAGAAGCAGCTTTTACCTTGGAGCTGTGTCCGACCCTCGGCGACCGTCCGCTCCCCCACTGCGCATGAGCCAGCTCTCCCTTTTTTCCTCACGCGAGCAGGTGGCAAAGCACTGCCTCCTCTCCGTTTCTCCTCTCCCTTGGATCTCTCGGCACAGCTGTGCGCTCGTACATAATGCTGCACTCGCTCGCTCCTTTGCGCTCTCCAGCGCTGGGTGTTCACTTCGCGGCATACACGCCGTAATACACACAAATGGGAGGGGGGTTAACATAAGCGGTGCACAACATATACACAGCTCCAAACACAAATGAAACATACACGGATACATACACAAATGGAAACATAGTGAACACCAGCGCTGCTTTGTACCCCACCTGGTTCCCTTTAGTAGAAGATACTGTAATTTTTTGAACATCTAGCCTGTGAGGTCTGAGCTAGGTATGCAATACTTTTTTTATTATTCTTAACCCTAGCAGATCATGAGTCTCTCTGCCTGGTTTCTTCGCTACTGTGGACTTGACGAGCGGAAATGATGCAGCCTGCTTTAAAATAAAAATTCGCTCGTTTTTGAACCAGTGTATTGTTCAAGGTTTGAACAAAAGACGTGCTGTAACGACATCAGCATTCGTGTTAGCTACCCCCCTCCCTAACCAAGTTGCACCATTGCCATGGCCTTTGCCGTGTTTTAGATACAGTGTCGAACTATTCCAAGCTTTGAATACTAGATATTCGAAACTTCGCATAGTATTATTCGATTAGGTACTATTCTATTCGAACTCGAACATTCAAACACCTTGGAAAAAGTGTTTTCGAACCACTGTATAAATGCGATCATGGGTGGGTTACTCAACTGAACTTTCAAAGGAGCATTCGGAAAAAAGCGCTTATATTGTATACGACCAGGATATAAAGAAACTTCCGAGGGGCAAAAAGGATTTATTGTGAATGATAGGCGAATATCCTCTTTTGACACAAAACAGTCATTGACCTCCGTCTGCTCGAGCAAGACCCGAGCTAAATCGAAAATGAATCACGTTATCAGTCTGAGCAAGAGCTGAACGTTTTGAGAGAAGAGATACAAATAAGGTGATACAACTGTCCCTGTTTCAAGATTTCGTGCTGTTGCTGTCACGTTGCCTCTCCAGAAATGATAAAATTGTCAATGCGGCTTCCGGTTGAAGCTACCTTGGAAGCCTCCATTGAAGTTCGTGCACAGTCAATACGCCGTGAGGGTTTTGCAGTAAACCTGATAGCTGGGCGGATTGGCATGAATTCATGTTTAAAATTTTTGGTAGCGCGCACAAAAGACGGAGGGACAAGGAACAGATAAACGAGCACTAACTGACAACTGTTTCAATTCTTGAAGATTACTAACGTGCAAGAACCACTGATCAGCAGAGAGCACGTGCTTATCAAGCATAGAGCGTGGGAATTAACCAGCATAATCATCATCAAGCTTTTTATGCAGCTCGATAATGACTTGTCAATTACTAGACCGTGATTTGATAATGTCCTGACGATGACTTTGCAATCACTGAACTAAGTACTGACGATGACTTGATAATATATTTGCGATGACTTGTCACTGACTTGACGATGATTCGGTGAGGCGATGACTTTTCAATGGCTTGACAATGTATTGATGATTATGATGATGATGATGATGGTGGTGGTGGTGGTGGTGGTGGTGGTATGGGGAGTTTAACGTCCCAAAACCACAATAATATTATGAGAGACGCCGTGGTGGAAGTCTCCGGAAATATGAACCACTTGGGGTTCTTTAACGTGCACCTAAATCTGAGTAGACGGGCCTCAACCATTTTCGCCTGCATCGAAAATTCAGCCGCCAGTGCCGGGATTCGATGCCGCGACCTTCGATTCAGCAGTTGAGTGCCATAACCATTGGACCACCGTGGCGGGGCGTAGTGAATTGACGATAGACTAGATGAGTCCTTGACAATCAGTTGACAATGTGTTGATGAATTGACAGTGTTTTATGAATATTTCACGGTGACTTGGCGATCACTTGACATTGTATTGGGGATGATTTCAAAATTCATTTACGATCACTTGGCACTGCTTTGACCATGACTGGGCGGTCTCTTGACAACGTGTTAACGATCACTTGGCACTGACTTTACAATGACTTGGCAATCACTTGAAGACGTACTGGTAATCACTTGGAAGTGTATTGACAATCACTAGATATTAAGCGGCTTGATGAGGGCCTGACGATTGACTTGTAATTGATAATAACACAGGTCGTCCTCACTACTCTTTCCACTCTCGTGGCCGCTGCTTATGCCGGCGGGCTGGTTGCCTACGGCTTGGGAGGCGGTCACGGTGGCTGGGGCAACGGCTGGGGCAACGGCTGGGGCAATGGCTGGGGCAGCGGCTGGGGCAGCGGCTGGGGCAGCGGCTGGAAACATGGCGGTGGCCTGAGCGGGGTCGGCCTCGGCGGCAGCGTGGTCCTGCTGAACGGTGGCCATGGCGGGTACGGCAAGGTTGTGGCCGGACCGTCCTTTCTCGTGAAGACCGTGCACCACGTGAGCAAGCTCAGCGGCGGTGGCGCTGTGGTCGCCCACAGCGGTCTCGGAGGCGGCTACGTCGTGGGACCCCTGGTGGCCGCGACGGTGGTGGGCAATGGCGGAGGCCACGGTGGAGGCTACGGTTACGGCGGCGGCTACGGCCACAAGGGATAAGCCGTACGGAGCTGAGCGAGAACTAAGGTATGTAGCGCCTGATTGTCAGTATTGAGAAACTTTGATAAACCGCACCGACAGTAGCAGCGCTTTCTTGCGCCAGCCTTTTACCAAGATACGTTAACACGGTAAGGACGTACGGTTTGTACCATGCCGCTCCTCCTTTCTCTCGCGTTGTTCTTTCGCTACTTCTGGTTCCACGTGACAGCGCGTCCCCAGAGTGGCAGGTTTCTCGTTTACCACGCGTAGGCCGAGAGGCAATAATGCGGCACAACAGCACCAAGCTAACTTTTGAAAAAAATCACAGCATATCCACGGAGTGAATGATGATTGACGGGGCGAAGCGTTCGTCACTCCGTCCGTGCTTTTTCCGCCCGTTCGTTCTTGCTTCCGTCCGTCCATTCATGTGACCATGGGTGCATCCATTTTTTCGTGTGTCCCTCCACGCGTCCATCCGTACGTCCGTTCTTCCATCTGCCCATCCATCCATCCGTGCGTACGCCCCTCTGTCTATCTGTGTGTCCATCAGTCCATCCGTCTATCTATATGTCCGTCCGTCCGTCTATCTATTGAACACTCCAAGTACAGCCATCTCACATCTTTTCATCATGTATTGATCATACACAAGTGCCGCCATCCAGTGGACATTATAAGGACCACTCTTTTGGGTATGTGCCACCGGTGGCTACATACACCATCGGGGGAAGGGCAGACCCACACTCTAAAGAGCTTCGCCCCTAAAAGCAATTCTAGTGGGGAACCTTTGCCAAAATTAGGAGCGGCAAATACACAACAAGCGAGATAGGAGGAGCGGTACGGTAGTAACATACTGAATTTACATAGTGTATTTCTGTAACTTGCTGGAAGACTCGAACAAAAGGGATACGTAGCGGCCCCGAAACGACCATATTTTGTTTATATTCTTCCGAACAAGACGAGCTTGCGTCTCTTTCGTTTCTTCAATGAATCAACCTCTCCTATGACGAGTTTTCGTAGGACCTTGAACTACGTACCTCCTATGTGGGACAATGACAGTACACCGAACGACGCGGGACACCAACGGTCGACGTTGTTTTTTCGATGAGCCATGTAGGGCTTTAGCCTTAGAATGCCAGAGACAAGGACAGCACTGATGAATGGTAAATGAAATCGGTCGGCTGCTTTACCAAAGGCGTATCCAGGGATACTTTTTGAAGGGATTCAACCACAACGCGCGTATGTGTGCTTGTATATACCCACATGTAAAGGTGGCATATGGGGGGGGGGGGGGGTTAGTCTTCGTTAGATCCAAGCTCGTGAGAAACACTGGGTCTGCTGACTTTTGATCATCGCTTCTTGATTAGGCCTGCAATCATTACACGCATACAAATTACGTCAGAAAACACTGCCCTGCCTATTGTTAGTCAAGGCTCTTGAGAAGACGTGAGCGAAAAGCTATAGCGCAGCGCGCGGTCTGGGAGTTACAACCAGTTCTCAAAGACCGCTGAAAATTGCTGGCTCTTCTCTCTACAAATGACGCCGTGAACCCAAAGTCCGCTGCCATTGGCTAATTTGAGCACCGTCAGCTGCGTAATTATCGTGTCCACCTCGAGAGGTCCCGACGTGCATGCATTGCGATAACACTGAAAGAAATCCGCGCTTTCGATGAAAAAAAAAAAGGAATAGTTCCCAAAGTCATGACGCCATGAGCGATTCATCACCGAGACTAAAACAGTACCTAACTTAATTCTTGCTTTTAACTTTTCATTATCAATAACTGCTACTTGAAATCCATGTATTAACTATAGCGTCTACGTATAAAAAACTACAGATATCATTGGATAAATTCACCCACTGACCGGCCACTCCCCTCCATTGGGTTATGAATGACGTCCAGAGGAAAACAAGGACCACAAAAATGCGATGGCAGAAATAATGTCACTGACCAAACAAAACTTAAAGAAAAACTACATTTCGGCATCCGTGAGGAAGCCTTGTTCACTATCCTTGAATGTGAAGAAGCCATGTTCCCAAATGATTGGAAACAAGGTACGGAAGTCGAAACATCGTTTCTTTTAAAACGTTTATTCGGTCGGTGTACTTCCTTCCCACCATGTTTCATCCCACGTCTAGCCGGGTTTTCAGTCTAATTGTCGATTTCGGTGTCGTGACGCGCGCCAGCGAACGAGCGTACTTCTTTCGCTCCCCTGCCTTACGCCACAAAATCTATCCTGGACTTCACCCCAATTCAGACTGCAAGTTTTGCACGGTAAGGAAAGCGGAGCTTAACCACATTATGTGGCAATGTCGAAATCACTCCCCTCCCCCGAGCCTTCGTAAACAAAAAAAGTGCCGCCATATCCACGAAGTGAATGATGATGAGTGGGCGAAGCTCCGGAGGTAAACCTGGTAAACCATGAATCCTCTGTACATTTTGCCCACTCGATTTTATTACATCGCTCCCCCTAGCGTACGTCGCCGCACTAAATCGAACGATTGCCTTCAACCAATGACACGCGCCATATGTGACATCATTCCTATTTTATAAGATCTCGCGTCTTTCATCAACTACAAGTACCGCTTTCTAGTTTATAACATCTTGCATCTTTTCGTCATCAGCTACAAGTACCACCATCTAGTAAACACTACAAGAACTAAACTAGAGGTGGCTACATACAGGGGACGGTACCGCCATCTAGTGAACACTGCAAGAACTAAACTAGAGGTGGCTACATACGGGGGACGCACAGCCCACGCCCTAAGGAGCTTCGCCCCTAATAAGTAGTAAGGATCTGTGGGAGGCTGCCTTGCGCATCTACAACCCTGACCTTCAGGAGGCTATCCTGAGGTGGGCTGGGGTGGTAGAAGAGGCCTACCGCGAGTAGTATCCTTCGCCTTCTCGCAGCCCCCTTTCCTTAAGATGGGATAAATAAAGTTGTCTCTCTTTCTCTCTCTCTCTCTCTTCCACCTTGACATGCACCTCTTCCTTTTTCCCCTCTCTGCGTAGATTTCGCCACATTCCCTGGCGAATCCCTATATAACTTACCAAAACTTGCTGGGCCAGTTGGTAACTCGTGATGATGTCAGTAATTTAGCGCAACACTCAAAGAAAAAAAAAGAGATGGCGTAAAAGAAGGGTGTATTTTTGTCTCACAACACTCTTCATCTATCTCGCGTTTCTTTCCTCACATTATCGCTGCACGCCCGGCACTTTCAGGTGACGAACGACGTGCGAGTTATCAGCGTGACAGAAGCTCTCTTGATAAGAAAGTGGCCAGCGCCGAGTTTGCAAGAAGGGAAGCCTAGGCATAACTGATGGCGATTATTGTTGTGGGACAAAAAAGGACAGGCTTTCTACTCAATCTGTTCCTTTTTTTTGTCCTTTTTTAAAGACGATAGTCTTTCTTGGGGACCTTCGACGGAAAAATTTGGGTCTGTCTGTATGTCAGTGCATTTGTCTGTTTGTCCGCCCTAACGATCCCTCAAACGGCACAACCCCATCCGCAGCGCCCACCAATATTGTTCAATGTTTAGCGTTCATAGTTGTGCGATTGTCAATTATAAAGCAATTATTGCGCATATCTGAGGCGCCACAACAACGCTTCGACGTTCTCTATGTCCGCCTTTATACTAGAAGAGACACACACAAGTAAATCTAAGGAATGTAGCGTTTATTCGCGCTGTGCTGACAGTGCAACGCGATGCTCAAAAAGGTGTTTCCAACGCTTTGCTACGACGTCACGGTGGTGGCACTTGCCCGTCGCTTTGCGTTCTACACCTTATCACCTCCGAGACTGGCGCGCATCTTTCTCCGCGGGCTGTACGCCTTCGTTTTCGAAGATAACTGCCAGATGGCACTTGTGTCTAACGTGCCTCGATGGCTCGTTCGCCTTCGCTACACGCTCGAGGCACTCTAACGCAGCGCCTGCAGAATACCATTCACGGATTTTCTTGCGCAGAACATGAAATAAACGTTTTGTTCACTCTCTCCAGACGCAAGACTATCGTTTTTCGACGACATTAACAGTGTAACATGTAGATTCGGGCCAATTTTTTTCAAGAGAGAACTTTGTAACTCCCTCGAAACATTCGCACGATCGCTCATGCTATCCTCTCGGGAAACACGTCGCATGCAACGCTCAGACCGCTGTGTGGTGCGTGTGTTAAGAAAAAGTGTTTAACGATTTAGAGTACTATAGTCACTCTACTATGGGAGAGCTTAAGGCCGTCCCTTATTTCACATATCTACATGGTAGACGGCTTGATTCTCCTCTGATACACAAAGGACCATAAATTGTTGTGTGAAACCGTGCGTGAATGAGTGTTTCGAGGGACTTCAAGGTTGCGCTAAATTAGGTTATGAAGAATCTCTGCCTGTAACTCAGCTAGTGCTTGCGGGATTCCAAAGGTTTCTCTTCCCTTTTTATTTTATTTTTTACTCTTTTTTTTCTTTCTGCGGCAGTCGATTTTATAGGCAATCAACTCCTTTTACGAAGCCATTCAATTATTAAACCGTCCGTACGACGTTCTCGGGGTGGTGATTTCTTTTTTGATAATTTCACGTTTATTTTGAAAGTTTCGCACTTTCCACGATCACCGTTACGAGGACAACGTTGTGCGTTGTTTTATTTTTTGTTTTCATTTTTTTTTTCACATGCAGACATCAAGACGGTGGACCGACGACATCTAGCCAGCAGCGCTGTGATCTCCGCACAAGCGAACAGGAAGAATCACTCAAAAATAAAAATAAAAAAATAATCAGGTCATTTTATATACCTCAGGAAACGCCATTTACACGTTTGGGCAGGCGAATGCCCTCTGTACAATGTGTAAATAAAAAAAAGCATTTTCTCATTTCTAAAATCGCTTTCGTGCATGTCTTTGTTTATTTACAAAGCCCCCACAAGCCTTAGCAGGAGTATAGTGTATATGAGGGAGGGGGGGGGGCATTATAGAGGGCAGAATCAGATTAGTTGAAGCATCAAAACACGATTGTACGCGTTATAGCACAAAAAATAACGTTATATAATTGTTAGCAACTACTAAACAAAATGCAGAGATACTAGTTTGCCTCATTCAGGTAGAAAGACAGATATACTGTGATGCCTTTCCAATCTGGCGCATCGGTTTTTTTTTTTTCGATTGATTTCCGAAGGGCCAGCAAGGCCTGTGCGCCCGCATTGAGTCACAATTTGGTCCCAATGAGTCACTATTATTTTGCTATATTTTAAATACAGCTACGTTAACGTTGTGAAGAAGCGATTGATATGTGGGGTTTAACGTCCCAAAACCACTGCATGATTATGAGAGACGCCGTAGTGGAGGACCTGGACCACCTGGGGTTCTTTAACGTGCACCCAAATCTGAGCACACGGGCCTACAACATTTCCGCCTCCATCGGAAATGCAGCCGCCGCAGCCAAGAACGTTCTGAAGAAGCATGCAAACAACTGCACAGCTGTATTGTATTACATTGTACCGGCTTTATATTTCGTTCTATTGTATTGGTGAATATGCCATTTTGACATGTCGTACATATCGTTTTTGAAATGTTGTTTAGTACGGTTTTCTATGGTATAACAACTGTAACCCACCTCTGTAACGGCCTGAAGGCAATGCTAAAATTAAAATTTGAAAAGTCGAAATGAGGCACAAGCTCTCAGGGGCGTAGTAAGAAATTTTTTCGCGTGGGGGGTCACTTATAATTTATTTATTTATTTATTTATTTATTTATTTATTTATTTATTTATTTATTTATTTATTTATTTATTTGGAAAGTACTGCTAGCCTTAAAAAGGCTGTAAGCAGGAGTGGGGATACAAAGGTGAAAGAATATAGCAATACTACGCGAGAAAAAAAAACAATGTTTGTTCGTGCGTGTGTTTGTATGTGTGCGTGTATATATCATCCACAGCAGCAGACCTGGCTACGTCCACTGCAGTGCAAAGGCCTGTCCCATGATCCGCCAATCAACCCGGTCCTGTGCTTTCCTTTGCCACGTTATACCGGCGAACTTTTTAATCTCATCGGCCCACCTAACTTTCTGTCTCCCATGCGTGCGTTTGCCTTCTCTGGGAATTCATTCAGTTACCCTTAAGGACCAGCGGTTATCCTGCCTACCTGCTACGTGCCCGGCCCATGTCCGTTTCTTCTTCTCGATTTCAACTATGATATCCTATACGATTGCAGGCACCGAAAGCTTTCTGCTCGTCACTTGGGTTTCACACGGCCTCCGGGATCAGCTCAACTTTGCCCAAGCGAAGACGCCGTGTGATGAACGTCATCATGTGGCATACATTTCTGACGTCATGATTGTGTGACGAACGTTTGCTATTTGCGGCGTTATATGATTGTCACACGCTGACGTCATCGCGTGAAAAGGCTCGTTTTGTCGGTATACTGTTGACGCCGATGGCCGAATCTCACGTTTTGTGAGGCCTATAAGGTCGCCATACTTAGAAAATTTATATACACTATGTGCAAAAAAAAATTGGCAGATCCCACGTACAGTGGGAATCGATGATATGCGAAGCGCGAACGAAAAATGTTTATGTGTCACTTTAAAGTCCGCAAAACGTTACGCGGTGGAGGTAAATGATGCCGTACATGACTTCCGTGTCATGATTATCACGTTTGCATGTGTCGTCTACCTTCGTCATCAATTCACGTCACGTTATTGCAAATTTAGTATATGTGGAGCTAGCGAAACGGCCGCGAGAGCGTGGTATGTTGTCGTGTTCTTACATGACAGACGTGTCAGGATTATCATGTTTGCACCAGTCATATACTTTCGTCATCCATTGACGTCACGCAACACCAAAGTTTCTGTATGTGTAGCTAGCAAAACGGCCGCGAGTGCATCATGAAGGGCCCAATATGCTCCAATGTAGCGTTGACACGCGCGCACACTGGGCACAGCGACGCTGCGTTATCAAAACGCGAGCATCCTATATAGTCCGACGCCAGGCGTGACCGGCACGACGTTCGTCCGTCGGCGCAGCTCAGGGGCGACCAGCGCGAAATGCGACATGCTGCATTTCGCGCCGATGCGTTACCCAGAACACACTGCGCCTCCCTCTTTTCGCGACGGAGGGACGCCGGGCGCGCTGAACCACGCATGCGTCAAAGCGACGCAACGCGCCTGCGAGTATTATGGCAGGAACGGCGCCTGGCGTGGCAACGCCGACGTGACGCGACGAAATGAACGCCGGCGAGCACGCGCATCATCGCGTCACGTCGAAATGTATTGGCACCTTGACTGTGGCATGTAGTCATGTTCTCACATCACACGCATCTCATCATTATCATGTTTGTACCAGCCAAATACCTTCGTCTTCCATCGGCGTCACGTTGATACCAAATTTGGCATATGTGAAGCTAGCGAAGGTTAGGTGGGCAGATGAGATTAGGAAGTTTGCGGGTATAAATTGGCAGCAGCAAGCTCAGGACCGGGTTAACTGGCGGAACATGGGAGAGGCCTTTGTCCTGCAGTGGACGTAGTCAGGCAGGACAAAGGCCTCTCCCATGATGATGGGAGAGGCCTTTGATGATGATGATGAAGCTAGGTAGTCATGATGATGATGATGAAGCTAGCGAAAAAGCCGCGAGGGCATCATGAGCATGGCATGTAGTCATGTTGTTACATGACACGCATGTCATGATTTTTATGTTAGGGTCTGCCGCTTGTGTTCGTCATGCAATCATGTAATACCATACCAGCTTTGCAACATGCCATGTGAACGAAACCACCGCAAGAGCTGCAGGACCAGGAAATGTAAATCGCGACATTCATGACATACAAGTCATGATTTTCATGTTATGACTAGTCAAATCTGTTCTACACAAAGTCATGTTATGCCATACCAAGTTTCGTATCGATACCATTATCGAAACGACCGTAAGAGCTAAAAGTCGTAGGCGGCTACATAGATAGATAGATAGATAGATAGATAGATAGATAGATAGATAGATAGATAGATAGATAGATAGATAGATAGATAGATAGATAGATAGATAGATAGATAGATAGATAGATAGATAGATAGATAGATAGATAGATAGATAGATAGATACGCTCAAAGTAACCGAAGTTCGCGAAGAAATGCTTCGCATTTAATAACAACAAAAAATTCATGAGAATTTAGAAAGAGTTATTAACGATTCAGAGTACATGGTACGGGACAGCATAAGCCGTCCCGTAGACCTCACATTTCATGCGTGTTTAGAAAAGTGTTTAACGATTAGGAGTACTAATACACTGCCATAGGAAAGCATAGATCTGTCCCCTTGAGAGGCAGGGGGGTTAGAAAAAAAGTAGGTAACGATTCAGAGTACAGGTTACTCTACTTTGGGAGAGCTTAAAGCCGTCCCGTGGGCCTCAACGACCAAACCTGCACAACCGCTGGCAGGCAGTTAAGCCAGGCAGACTGCTAAATTCAACGGATGACAACAGCGGCGTTGACTCAAGCTTCACACTTTCTAAAGCCCTCATAGCAGTTACGCCCAACACCTCTGTTTTTTTACAAAGTATCGGCAGGCAACAATTCGATGAATTCAATCATGGAGTACATTCCGTCTAGCTTGCCTCGTAGCGTACTTTTCTATATTGAAACGCATCAAATCGCAAAAAGAAAATATGATAAAGCAGTGTCCACACACATATTCCATCATCCTCGCCCTGTCGCTATGAATAACGCGTCCCCTTCGTCCGGTCGAAGCGTCAAACTTTAGCTTCTTGTAGCGTAAGCTACGCTGGCCGAGGTTGAGCAGTTTCGCGCAAGGAAGTTAAAAGAGAGAGAGAACTTCTGTAGTGGAAATTATCGCGCATGAACGAAGCAGCCATACCCATCGTACGATGGCGGCTGCGGCAGCCATCTTACTAGGGGTATGTGTGTTTAGAAAAAGTGGATAATGATTTAGAGTACTAGAGGTACTCTACTATGGGAGAGCTTAAAGCCGTCCCGTCGGCTTCACTCGGGATGAGTATTGCCTTATGAAAAAAACATAAACCCGCTATTCTATGAAATGAACGTACAAGACCGAAGAACAGAGATTGAAGGGTATGTTCAGCGATTGAGTGAGGGAAGTTTATTTTACACTTAACTTGTACATACACAAGCGAAACACCGAAAACAAGTAAAGACAGTGTATGCATCTTACAAACGAGCACCGAAATCTAATTGATCACTGGGTATCCAAATGTTACAAGTCAAAGGAAAGTTAAAATGAATCGAGTTAATCACATTTTACAGGATAACACTTATGCATGCATGCGTACTAGAGTGGGTGCATGGATAATGCGGGACAACTGAAAACTTCAGCCGTCCCTCTCTTACTTTGAAGAAACGTGTGTGCCATCGTCGAGGGAAAAGTCTCTTCTCCGTGCGTTTCCAGTTGCTGATCTAGGTGATTCCACACAATGAGCCGAAGCAGCGTTTTCCTCGCACGCTCAGCGAGTTTAACGTGGCAACCTTTCCTGGCCACATAGTGGTCAAAGTGCGTCTTTCGGTTACCAGTTTTTCTTTAGTAAGCCTCGAATTAAAGGCAAATTTTATTGGATATTGAGTCACCGATACTCGTCTCTGTGGGTTATTTCATTAGAAGCAGCTGTCTTTTAATTTATGATTGACGTAGCCTTTAGACTTACAGGTCAAATCCACTTGATGTCTGAATGGGCACCACCAGAAAACAGCATGTGTTCGAGATCTTTGGAGGGCAAAAGCAGGCTTCGCTATTGCTGGCAAAGAAAGCATCGCAGGAGCTTCCACTCCATGGTTTCGCGTGGCTCATGGGAAGACATTCTGCGCAAGCGCGAGGAGCAGTGACGTCACACAGCGCACAGCTAGCGCGCCCTAGTGGTTCGGC